CTATTTATTCTCTCTACCCACCAGCCCCACCTATCCCTCTCCTGCCTCGCTATTGGACATTCAGCTTTTTATTAGACCAATCAGGTGCCTTAGGCAGGCAAGGTGAAACAAATGTAACACATCTTTACATAATTAAACAAATGCAGCATACACGAAAGTAACACACCTTTACACAGTTAAAGTAATATTCCGTGGCATAAACAAATGTAAAACATCTTTGCATAGTTAAAATAATCCTCTACAACGTCCTATCCTTTCTTTCTCTCCCCTGGTTGTACAGGGGGGTACAAAGGCCTGAGTCATGCCAGGCTCTAACAGCTGACCTCCAGGTTCAGGTCCATTGTGGTTTTCCTGTTTCATCCGGTTGAAAGTAGTAGCAGCAGGTCCACCTCCTCCTAGAGGGGCCGGAAGGACTTGGGACAGTGTCAGAACCAGGGAATAGGTCCTAGCTCTCCACCAACTACAATTGTGACCCCTGGCAAGCTGTCTTTTCTCCGGGTCCTTTGATTTCCCTATCTGCCATACCACACTGTCGCCTTGAGGAGTCACACGGTTCCGTGTCCTGGAGACAGACAATGTGACGTAACCCAGACTTTCTTGGGTCATTAGTGCCCTGACAGTGTGCTGAGGAGTCAGCCCACAGGATCGCAACAGAGAATGGCATATGGCTCTGATTGGACTCTGGGGAGCTCCCCGCCCTAAGCACAGCTTTGCCAGGCTGCAGTCAACCACAGCCTCTTCCCGTTGCCTCTGTGTTTCACACACACAACACACAACACCAAATGTGTATGCCTGCCATTCGGTTCAGTGAATGTTGTTGTTTTTTTATCACCAATAAAAAAATTTCAATTAAGAACATTCAATTTGAATGACACCAAGTTCTGATTAGTCTTTTAATTAAAGATTTGTTTGTGTTTGCCTGAATATATAAAAGAGTACCATGTGTATGCCTGGAGCATGTGGAAGTTAGAAGGGCATAGATCCCCTGGAACTGGAGTTACAGACGGTTGTGAACCACCATGTGGGGCCTGGTCCTCTGCAAGAGCATTAAGTGCTCTTAACCATTGAGTCATCTTGCCAGCCCGTGTTTTTAAAATTTAAAAAACATTTCCCTAGCGGTGGTGGCACATACCTAATCCCAGCCCTCAGGAGGCAGAGGCAGGAGAATCTCTGTGAGTTCAAGGCTTCAAGGCTAGCCTGATCTACAGAGTGAATTTCAGGACAGCCAAAGCTACACAGAGAAACCCTGTCTCAAAAAAAAAAAAAAAAAACAAAAACAAAAAAAAAACAAAAAACAAAACCAAACAAACAGAAAACAAAAAACCAACCCCAATAAAACAAAACCATTTATTTATTCCTTTAGAGAAAGTGTGTGTGTGTGTGTGTGTGTGTGTGTGTGTGTGTGTGGTTTGGGGGGCTGGAAATCAGGTGGTCAGACTTGACAAGAAGCACCTTTACCTGCTGAACCATCTCACAGACTCTAAAAACGCTATGAAATGGATTTATTTATTTAATGTGCACGGACATTTTGCCTGCATGTATACCTGTGCACTACACTTGTGTCTGAAGAGGGAGTAAGAAATCTTGGGACTGGAGTTACAGGCAGTTGTGAGCTACCCTGTAGGTGCTGGGAACTGAACCCAGGTCCTCTGGAAGAGAAATCAGTGCTCTTAACTACGGAGCCATCTCCCCAGTCCCTTCTAAAGCAATTTAATAATACCTGCTTTAGGTCTCTGAGTTCGAGGCCAGTGTGGTCTACAGAGCAAGTTCCAGGGACAACCAGGGCCACATAGAGAAACCCTGTCTCACAAAAACAAACAGTACCTGCCTTCATGGTTCCATATGAAGATATTCAGGTGTGTGTGCCCTCCATGGGGCCTCATGGCATTTGGTGTCTGGCTTGGAAGCGTTGAGCTCAAGCCTGGCTCTGGCGGACTGGGCTGGAGGACCTGCCCAGTGTCACACATCACTGGAGACTTGATTTTTCTCATCGCTAAAAAGAAACAGGAGTGCCTTCCTTTACCTCAGGAAAGAAGCTTGTATCACGTAAGTGCTGTGGCTGTGCCCAGAGTCCAGGCCCTTTTCAATTAGCTTGTGAAACCCCGTTCCCAGTGGGAGTGCCACGGGTCAGTTGTTTGTCGCCATCCGTGAAGCAGACCGTTCTCTCGTTATAGCCACTAGGTGGCACCATGGATCCGCTTCTGTGAGTGTTTCCGTCTCAAAGGCAGCAGTGGGATCTGGTTGAATCTTGCTGGTGATGCTGCTTTTTTTTTTTTTTTTTTTTTTTTTTTTTAAATCGGCCATTTCATACGGTTCTCCTAATGCATGTCTATCTAGTCTTCTCTCCTGGGCACTTGCGCTTGGCTTATGTCGGCTAAATCACCTGCAGAGATTCCCTTACCAGACGGTAGGATTCTCTGTGCAGCCCTGGCGGCGGGGTGACCAGAGGCCCAGGGCTGTGTCTGGCATGGATGGAGGTCTCCCTCCTGGAATCCTATGCAACCTGTAACCCTCAGGTCTTGCTGCCAGAAACATGGGGACCCTTGCTGGGCGGAGGACTGCTGCAGAACTTAGGGGGGAGAGCCAGCAAAGGTCGCAGAGGTTTGCGCCACGAAGTGAGGCCTCCTGTTTCTCGTTGGGCAGATTTCCCTGGCTCCCAGGAGCCTTTCTCAGCCAAGGACAAGCCATGCGCAGGTGACACCGACTTTCAGTTCCCTGCTTCTTGGCGCCCACAGGCAGGGCTTTGGGCCCCCAGCGTTGTGAAAGAAGCTGAGATACATCGGGAAGGTCTCCAATCATTAACAGGATTGCCGATGACCCTAAGTAAGAGTCGGGGTGACTCACCCGAAGGCTGGGTGCGCGGCTTCAGCCAGGTCCTCATTAAGGAGCCCCTGGATTGACCTGAAGGTCAAAAGTGCATTTGTCCTGATCGAGGAGGTCTGCCGGTCTCTTCCCCTCAGAGTGGCCGGAACGCTGAGCAGTTCATGCACACACAGCCCTCCCACATCTGTCCTGTGGCTCTCTTCAGATACAAGGGCTCAGATAAGAACGCCGCAGCTGTCCTTTGTTTAGCTGTTGTGAGTCTCTGTTCACTTGCTGCGGGGGTCACTTTTTCCCTTCTAGGGTCCATTGAATTTCTGCTCATGTGGCCCCCTTTCCTTTCCTTTTTAAAAACTATTTCTTTTATTTTTTGAAATTATAATTACACAATTTTCCTCTCCCCCTTCTCCCTCCAAACCCTCTCATATTCCCCTTCTTGCTCTCTTTCAAATTCACGGCCTTGTCTTTTCATTAATTGCTGTTATGTACACATATGTATATACATAATATATTACCAAATACAGAGATACAACCTGCTCAACCCGTATAACTCATGTGTGTTTTCAGGGCTGACCACTGGCGCTGGATAACCAGTTGGTGTGCTCTTCCTGGGGATCTCTCTCTCTCTCTCTCTCTCTCTCTCTCTCTCTCTCTCTCTCTCTCTCTCTCTCGGTTCTTTGTACAGGGTGAGGCCCCACGGCCTTGTCCTCATCCACGTTGACATGTCTGTGGGTGTCTTCCCTGTTCAGCTCACATCTGGACAGTCATGCTGGTGAGACCTTATGTGTCTTCAGACATTACTAGGAGACAGTCTCACAGCAAACTCCCTGATCCTCTGACTCTTCAGGCTTTCCTCCCACTCTTCCTGATGGTTCCCCAAGGTTTTGTATCTGCTGGGACTCTGCAGCTGCTTTTTTAAGGGCTAAGGGAAGAAAAAAAAATTAAATTGTTTTGGTTTGTTTTCTTTAGGAGATGAGGTCTTCCTGCATAGTGAGGCGGCAGGACTCAGCGTCCCAAGAGCTGGGGTTACAGCCAGGCTCTCAAAGGGGTTACAGGCTAAGAAATTATTTAAAAAGTTACCTTAGTCAGGCATGGTGATGTACACCTTTAAAAAAAGATTTATTTATTTTTATTTTATGTGCATTGGTGTTTTGCCTACATGTACGTCTGTATCCTCTGGAACTGGAGTTACAGACAGTTGTGAGCTATTATATAGGTGCTGGGAATTGAACCTGGGTCCTTCTGAGAAGCAGTCAGTGCTCTTAACCCCTGAGCCATCTCTTCAGCCCAGTGATGCACATGCTTGAGCCCAGTCTCTGGAGGCAGAGGCAGGTGGATATCTGAATTTGAGGCCAGTCTGGTCTACAGAGAGAGTTCCAGGGCAGTCAGGACTACACAGAGACCCTGTCTCAAAAATAAATAAAAAATGAAATAAATAAAAATAAATTATCTTGCAGAAATATAAGAATGGTTCAGCTGGGCATGATGGCATAAGCCTGTAATCCTAGCACTTAGAAGGCAGGATGATGAATTTGAGGGTATCCCAGGCTACATAGTGAATTTCAGCCAGCCTGGGCTATAGATTGAAATGCTGTCTCAAAAACAAAATAAAAGCTTCACTACCAGGAAATTAATGTAATTTATCATACTACCAAATGAATAAATAAAAGGTCAGGGCTGGGAGATGGGAAGTGTCTGCCACACAAGCATGGGGCCTGAGTTCGGATCCTCAGCATCCGAGTTAGAAGCTGGGTGTTACAGGCAGCAGGCAGCCTGTAACCCCAACTACTGTGGGGTGGAGGGGAGACAGGTGGATCGGCTACTCTAGCTGATTCAGTGACTACCAGGCTGAGTGAGAGACCCTGTCTCAAAAATAATGAAATAAGCCAGGTGGTGGGACACACGCCTTTAATCCCAGCACTCGGGAGGCAGAGCCATGCGGATCTCTGTGAGTTCCAGGCCAGCCTGGTCTACGAAGTGAGTTCCGGGAAAGGCTCCAAAGCTACATAGAGAAACCCTGTCTTGGGGAGAGGGGGGAGAAGGTATGTTTATCATAGTATCAGAGCCAACATCATGCTTTATGGGCACAAAATAAGAGCGTTCCCTAGTCTGATGTGGGAACAAGAGAGATATAAGCACCTCACAGGTGTTAGTTAATGTTTTTCTGGATTTGGCAGAAACTAGAACAGAGAGATACTGATTCCAAAGGAAGAAACGATCCAGACAGCATCGTCTCATACCTGGAAAACCCAAAGTCCTTGAACTAAGAAGCATTCCAGATCTAAGAAGGATGAACAGAAGGGCCCGTTTGTTGCCTGTGGGAGGGCGAAATGGCACAGCCGGGCTGGAAGTCTCTTCAGCAATTCCCCACAAAAGTGAGATCCTGTCACCCTGTGAGGCAGCAGCTGAGCCCCTTGGTGCTTATCGAAATGAAACCAAATCTTCGAACCACGTGAAACCTGAACAAAAATGTTTGTATTAGCTTCACCCAAGTTGCCAGAGCTTGGGAAATAATCAAGGTGCCTTCAAGGGGTGAGTGGATGGTCCGGACTCTCCAGACAACGGAATATTATCGAGTGCTAAGGAGAAATGAGCTTTCAAGTCTTGGCGACACCGAGAACTTTCGAGTACATATGACTAGGGAAGAGGGGACAGCAAAGCGTTTGGACAGTCCCTCTGACTGTGGGACCTTCTGGGAAACCCAAAGCTGTGAAATGGTAAAAAGATGAGAGGTTGGCCAGAAGGAAGAGGAAGAGCATGAAGGATTTTGTTCTATCGATGAAACCGTTCTATGTGGGATCAATTTGTCCAAAGCCATGCGATGTACAGTTCCTAGAGTGAGGCCAAGGTGAACCACAGAGCTCAGGGGAGGATGGTCTATCCATTTGGGGTCATGGGTGGAGCAAACATGTCCCTCTGGGGCCAAGGGTGGGGGAGGGTGTGGAAGTATGGGGGCAGGGGGGAAGCAGGGAGTGTGGAGAAATCCCTGAAGAGAGGCAAGGTTTCTCTCTGTGTCTCTCTTTGTTCCTCTCTCCCTTCTTCCTCCTTCCTTCCTCCCTCCTTTTCCCAATATAGTATTTTTATTGTCTTTTGAGAATTTCACAGAATGTATTTGAGCACTGTGGTGGTTTTAGTGAAAAGGGCCCCACAGGCTCATAGGGAGCGGGACTATTCGGTGGGGCAGCTCTTGACGATTTCCTTTGGACCACCAGCCCCCAAATAATGACACAAAGACTTACCATGAATTATGAAAATTCGGCCTTAGGCTTGTTTTCAGCTAGCTCTTATAACTTAAATTAACCGTTTCTATCAATCTGTGTTTTACTACCTGGCTCTTTACAGCTCCTCAGCACTGTGCATCCGACTCACTCTGCATCTCACTGGAGAAAGCCACGCGGCTCAGATTCTTCCAGTTCCTCTCTCCCCCTGGAAGTCCCGCCTATCCTCTCCTGCCTAGCTATGGGCCATCCAGCTCTTTACTAAACCAATCAGAAGGTGCCCCAGGCAGATGGGGCAAAACAGAGACATATCTTCACAGCGAACAGAAAGATTGTCCCACAACAATTAAGAGGTGTGGCCTTGTTGGAGGAAATGTGTCACTGGGGGTGGGCTTTGAGCTCAAGTCAGGTCCAGTGGTGCTCTTTCTTCCTGCTGCCTGCTGATCCAGATGTAGAACTCTCAGCTGCCTCTTCAGCACCGTGTCTTGTTATGTAGTCCTGGCCGGTCCCAGACGGGCTGCAGTTTTCTTGTCTTGGCCCCCAGGATGCTGGGATTCAGGCTTGTGCCACTTGCCCGGCAGCATTCCCTCATTTATTTTGTGTTGTGAGGTATTCACCACAGAAGAGTGCTCCGACATGGGTTTAAGCCAATAGGAAGTCTTTATCAGCTGGCCAGCGACTGCATTGGGTGTTCAGTACCCCAGTGTAGCCCTGAGCCTTTCACAGGGTGATCTTTTAAACACAAAGCCATGTTCTGGGTTTATATGCTTCAGTTAACGAGAACAGTTAGTCAGAAGCAGAATTGCAGAAGCTAAAAAGCAAGGTTAGTATATTAAAGACTTTCCCAGAACTATGTGCACTTTGATGGAGTAGGTCTTTGTTTTAGTTTTGGCAGGAGGTGCTGCCTACATGCTGGGTTTTACAGACTGAACGGCGCTTCCATCATGGAGTCAGTTGTGCTAAGGCCTGGGGGCCTGCTACATCTTGTATCTTTCTTTATTCTTCCGAGTCGAGTTTTCCTTCCTCAGGTGCCACTTGTGTGCCTCGTGCCCACAGAGGCCAGGGGATGGCAGTGGATCCCCTGGAACTGGAGTTGCAGAGGGTCATCAGCTGCCAAGTGGGTGCTGGGATCTGCACCCGGGTCCTCTGAGCCGCATCTCCAGGCTGGGGAAAGACAGTTTCAAGGGTTTCCAGTGCTAGGCCGACAGCTGTCTCCCGTCAACATCTGCACGATTATAGTCATGAGTGTTAATATTCTGACCCACCCCTTGGAAACTCGCCTCTTGGAAACCGGCCCCTTGGAAACCGGCCCCTTGGAAACTGGCCTCTTGGAAACCCGCCCCTTGGGGCCGCCCTGCGTCCTGATGGAAAAGCCTGATTTAAGGAAAAACCTCTCCCTTCTCTCTCTCTCCTGCTCTCCTTCTCCCCATTCCCACGAGGTGTGCGCCCTTGACCCCCTCCCGCTCGTCCTCTCTCTTCCTTCTGTCTTTTCCACTTTCCCTATCTTTCTCTCCATCTCTCTATTATAATAAACTCATTTCTGAGGACGCAGCGCCTGGGTTGTGAATGAATGACGTGCCGCCTCCGCCACCACGTCTGCCCAGCATGTTTTCCCTCGCGTGGGACTCCCTGGTCCAGCCAGCAGGGAGGTCCCCCCCCCCCCCCCCCCCCCCCCCCCGCGCACAATATCACAACAATGAGCTCCTGTCTTCTTTTGTTGAGAAGGCTGCCAGTTGCCCATTCTTTGTGGGTAACCTCTCCTTTCCTTCTCTTCCCTCTTGTTTTTACAGAGGTAAGTGTTGTGTGCAGATTATTTATTTATTTATAATGGTAAACAATGTTCATACAATATATTTTGATCATGTTTTCCTCTCCCTCAACCCCTCCCGTATTCTCCTAACCTCCCTACCCACCTAACTTTGTGTTCTTTCTCTCTCTCTTTAAAGACAAACAAAAAACAAGAAACAAAATCAAAATGGAACAACAACAAAAAACCCCAAGAAACACAAAAATGAAAAAAAAAAAAAAGCCAAAATCACTGAGTGGTGGTGGCGCACGCCTTTCATCCCAGCACTCGGGAGGCAGGGCCAGGCAGATCTCTGTGAGTTCGAGGCCAGCCTGGTCTACAGAGTGAGTTCCAGGACAGCCAGAGCTACATAGAGAAACCCTGTCTTGAAGAAAAAAAAGTGCCAAAATGAGACAAAATGTTGGCCAACCACTCCGGGGCATAGGGTCTTCCCTGGAATGTGGTTGATATACCCAGTGAGATCTCTCTGACAAACCTGATTTTCCCTTTCCCGCAGCTATCAGTTCCAGAGAGCTTCTCGGTTAAGGTTGAGACCTCACGTCCACTCCCTCGCTCAGTGCTGGGACCCCATCTGGCTCGACCCTGTGCAGGCCTGGGATTGCTACCACAGTAGTCTCCACATCAGTCCGCCTGTGTCTGGAGGACACCGATTCCTAGGGTCATCCTTCCCCTCCGGCTCTCACCTCTTTCTGATTCTTCTTCCACATAGATCCCTGATCCCGAGGGAGGGGTTTGGTGTATTTGTCTTGCTTGCTGTACATTAGTATTCCTAGACCCATGATATGCATTTCAGTAGCTGTAAAAATACCATAGATATATATTTTTTTTAAGTCTCTTTAATCTGCATTTTTTGTGTGTGCTCTCTCTCTCTCTCTCTTTCTCTCTGTCTCTCTCTCTGTCTCTCTCTTTCACACACACACACACACACACACACACACACACACACACACTAGCGCTCCTTTTACATCCCCACTCCCGTTCTTTTCTCAGTGTTTCACCTTTGGTAGATTATTATCTGGTTTATCTCATTCTCTCTTTATCTGTGTCTGACTGGCAGTTTGAATTTTTCTTTAAACTTTATTTTTGTTTTATGAGTATAGGTATTCTGCGCGCATGTGTGTCTGTGCACCATGTGTGTGCAGTGCCTCTGGAGGCCAGAAGAGGGCACTGCATCCCCTGGAACTGGAGTTACAGACAGTTGTGAGCTGCCACCGTGGGTGGATGCTGGGAATTCGAAACTGGGCCCTCTGAAAAAGCAGACAGTGCTCTTAACAGCTGAGCCATCTCTCCAGCCCTAACAAGAAATGTTTTTCATTTTATCTTTTGTCTTTTCTTTTTGGTTTTTCGAGGCAGGGTTTCTCGGTGTACCCTTGGCCATGCCGGAACTCACTCTGTAGACCAGGGTGGCCTTGAACTCATAGAGATCCACCTGCCTCTGTCTCCCGAGCGCTGGAATTAAAGATGTGCACTGTGGCCACCACTACTGGTTAAGAAATGTTTTCATTTTACTTTTTTCCTTATTTCTTCAGTTCTCTCATTACCTACAAATACAAACATACATGAATATATTTTCATAAATATGCATATATATTTAAACTTCTTTCTGTGTGCATTTGTGTGTGTACACATCGGTGAGTGCATGTGTGTGTGTGTGTGTGTGTGTGTGTGTGTGTGTGTGTGTGTGTGAGAGAGAGAGAGAGAGAGAGAGAGAGAGAGAGAGAGAGAGAGAGAGAGAGAGAGAGAATGTATATACTGCCGGAGGATTGAACCTAGAGCCTTTGAACGCTAAATGCATGCTCTACCACTTAAGTTTTATTTTGAAATAATTTTAGTTCTCAGAATTGTATGCTTTAAATAATACGGATTCCTTCCAGGTTTGATAGGGAGCTGCACAGAGGTGGATTTCAGGTGAAATATCCTTTAGTAACAACGCCCCTGCAGTGGGAGAAGCTGGGGTAAGAGATCCAACAGCAGCCCTGAGAACACAGCAATCCCTTTCACAGACTCTAGAGAGGGAATCTCTGAGGAGAGGGGAAGCATCTCTGTGTGCAGCACCAGGGGCCTCTGGGTTTAAAGGATCTGTGAGCGTACTAGGTAGGCGGTAACGCCTTAATTGGGAAAGCTAATCTTTTTGGCCCACACTACTTCGGGACTGCTGCATGCTGGGAGTTTAGCAGTTCAGGGAAAGTAGCAGATGGCTCTAAGATGGGCTGATTGTCTCTACAGGGGCGGCATAGTTTCATTTCACATCAGCATCTCAGGTAACCATGGAATATCCACCACTAAGTGAGAAAGAGATGAGATCGGTTAGCACATAACAGCGTGTATCAGCTGAACACACTTGCACACACAGACAGCAAGACACAGATAAACAGACACACACAGAGCGCACACACACACACACACACACACACACACACACACACATACACACATACACACTCGTTTTATGAAGGTGTAGGGATTATCCCAAGCCCAGTAGAATGGATGCTTGTGTTGGGAACAGGGAGGGGCAGGAGTGGCTGAGAGATGAAGGGAAGATAAGGGATGTGGAAGGGCTTAGGCTGCCAATAAACCACGGCAGATAATGAATCCAGCCTGTGCAGTCCATGGGAACTCTAATCTTCGCTATCAGCAGAAAGGTTTGTGTGTGTGTGACCTGTCACATGGCTGGTGCATGGTCTTCCTGGAAAACTGCAAGCCACTGGGGGCCCAGAGGAGAGGCAGATGAGTGACCCACTCTCTCAAGGTGTCAGCTGTCCACCCAGTCCAGTCCAGGTCCCCAAAGCCCGCAGCACTGTCTAGAGGAGACACAAGCCACCCATGGAGTCCTGCAGATGCTGCCTCAGCTTGGCTTGGGCTTCTGGGTTTTTCAAGAGAATTGACTCGAGGGTCTGGAGAGATGGCACTGGATGCTCTTTCAGAGGACCTGGGTGTGACTCCCAGAACCAACACTGGTGGCTCACAACCATCTGTAACTCCAGTTCCAGAGGATCCGATATCCCCTTCTGACCTCCACCGCAAGCACAAACCTACATGCAGGCAAAACAACCATACACATGAAATAAAAACTGAAATTTAGAAAGAAAAAGGCTTGAATCCTGTCAGCAAAGTTCTCCAGTGTGTCCCAAACCTGGCTAGAGTTCTTTTTTGAGTCCCTTCCCCACCCACTTATCTAGACATATCTGAGTTAGAAGCAAGTCTGGACCTCAATGCGCCACATGATATCCCCAAGAGAAAGGCTTCAGTGACAACCTTCAGGGCACCCAAGAGTTTTATATTAATTATCTTTATTTTTTGGTTTATGAGACAGGGTCTGGCTATAGCCCTGACTGGCCTGGAGCTCGTGATGTCAATTAAGTTGGCCTCAAACTTGCCGTGACCCTTCTGCTAGGGCCTCGCCAGTGCCGGGATTACAGGCGCACCACCGCGTCCCTAAGGAGGAGAAGTCTTAAAGATGTAAAGAACTTGCTCAGGGACGGGAAAGCTGTGTCCTTGAAGAAGGTGGAGAAGTGGTGGTGGGGAACTGGGAGGAGTAAAGGGAGGGGAAACCATAATCAGGATATATTGAACGAGAAAGAGAGAGAGAGAAGCAACTCATGTCCGCACTGTCAACATACTGTTAAGTGTCCATTGACAGAGAAACAGAGTGTTCCGCTAATCACCGGGAAATGTAATCCCAAACCGCAGTGAGGCGATGCCTTTCATCTATTAGGAAGGCTCCTCTCCAGAAAACAACAAGGGCTGAGGGTGTGGCTCAGCGGTGAAGCGGGCACTCAGGACGCGTGGGCACTGGGCTACCTTCCAGCCCTGCACAAAACAGAACAAAACCAAGAAGCAGTTGTTGACGGTGAGGTGGAGAAACTGGGGACTTGGATGGTGCTCGGGGATGGGAACGGTACAAGTGCTGTGGAAAACAGTTTGGTGAGTTCTCAGAAAACCAAAATAGAAATACTGTAGGAGCTAGCAATTCTACTTCTGGACACATACGTGTAAGACTGAAAGGCAAGATCTGGAACAGATGCTCGTGGAGGGAAGAGAGGGCGGGGGCGGGGGGGAGGAGTACAGGAAGAGACAGCTAAAATTAAGGGCCATTTGAGGGGCAGCGTGGACACACCTAATACAGTTGGAGCTCCCTAAAATATGTGTGTATATGAAGGCGATTTAAATGAAACTGCCAAATAACAGGGAGACAGAGCCCCAGCTGGACATCTTTTATCACCAAATGGAGCTTCCGGTACTGAGAATGGGTTATATCTAATGGAGTTGTTGGCCAAAGGGGTCTCATGGGGAACCCCAAACAACCCAGGCTGCTGCCAAGAGTATAGGCTACTCTCCACAAACTGACATCAAGACCCCACTGCTGAAGACAACAATACACAACTCATGCCTACCTAGATCCTTCACCCCTACAGGATAGTGTCCTTGGCACCAGAAATGCACGCTGCAGGCTACCAAAGGAGAAAGGTAAACACTAATCCGGCTACCAACCCTGCAAGATATGCTAGTACAGTGGTGGCCCGGAGCTTGTGGGAGTCACCAACCAACACTTGATTTGACTTAAGACCCGCTTCATGAGATGGGACCCATACCAGACACCGCTTGAGGCTAGATAACGCAGAGACCTAGGGGGAAACCGAACACTACTGCTCTACTAAAGGAACCTAGCAATAAAATGACTCCTAAGGACATTCTGCTCTGCTCATAGAGGAGTACTTTTGGTCAGCCATCATCAGAGAA